CATTATATATATATAGATCAACATGTTTTATATGCATCAACATTATATATATATATATATATATAGATCAACATGTTTTATATGCATCAACATTATATATATATATATAGATCAACATGTTTTATATGCATCAACATTATATATATATATATATAGATCAACATGTTTTATATGCATCAACATTATATATATATATATAGATCAACATGTTTTATATGCATCAACATTATATATATATATATATAGATCAACATGTTTTATATGCATCAACATTATATATATATATATAGATCAACATGTTTTATATGCATCAACATTATTATATATATATATATATATATATATATATAGATCAACATTATATATGTGGCACCATGCATCCACGCGATTTGAAAGATATATTTATAGATATATGATTTCCTTTTTTTTACGGTTTATCAACCATTTGAGGATTATTTAAGGCCAAAATGTATTTTAGGTTTTAAGAATAATTCTTTCTTTTTTTGTGAGAGGATTGAACCGCCATGCATTCAGGCGATTTGGGAGAAAGAAAGAGAAAGCGAAGAAGAAGAGGAAAAAGTAATACGAGACGGGTCATAGGCGAACACACACACACACACACACGCCTTAAGAGACGGGAATAAGGAAGAAAAGAGTTATTGTTGATAGGTATCAAATGTCGAAAATATCTAGGTCACCTACGAACAAGCGTTGACCGATTTCCGCTTATCCACGAAAAATGGAATTGTGTTATCAATAGATGTCACCAATTAAGAAATCCATTTTGAAAACGTTAGATTTTGATAATGGACAAAACGCAGATGTAGCTTGCAGTCTTGACTGGGTATGGAAAATTAAAATCCCACACAAGTAGTTTTAACTGGCTAAGTTTTTCTTTTGACAGAATAGACTTTTGCACTGCGATAATAAAAATTTTTGTTATCAACACATGAGCCGAAGGAAACTGACATATTTTTATTTCTGCTTTGGGAGACGCCAAGTTGGCTACAAACTTGGAGAAAATTCCTTTCTTAGACCATGTCAGATAATCCAGCTGTCCAGTGAATTGGCGATAAACTGCTTGACAACGCCAAGCGTGTTGAAACCGAGAGTTGTCACATCAACCGCTCATGATAACGGCGATTTAATCAATTTTTTTAGTTAAGCAAGGTATTTCTTTTTCCAAAACAAAAAAACTACGGGTTGTTCACGCCTGACTAAGACGTCATTAATAAATGGATCACATGACACAAACCTAAGGAGGAGGAAAGATACCCGACCAGGACCCCATTGGCCAAGAGCCTCACGTGACGCATGAAGAAAATCAGTCGACGCCCCTATCCAGAGAGTATAAGTATGGTCGATACGAAGAAGTGGGGAGGGCAGTTCAGAAGCATGGTGAGAGAGGGGAGGAGAAAAGAGTTACCAAAATGGAAAAGAGGAAAAATCCCTAACCAGAAATAAGAAGGTGGATACGTATTTAGAATTATCGAAGAACCCCTAGCGCTTCAACAGACCCACCCCAGTTTTGACGGCGTCAATAAAAAAAATCCCACCCAGACAGAGAGGAGTTCAGCCCCGGACGGCAGAGAGAAGAGTTCGTTTGCCCCAAGCTGGCAGAAGAGGCCAGTTCGTTTGGCCCTGGGTGCTGAGTTCGTTCGACCCAGGCTGGAGAGAAGAGTTCAATCTAGACCGACGAGCAGAGAGATGAGTGCCGGCGGTAGTTCAGACTCTGGCGAAGAAGTTCATTCTCCCAGGCGGGCAGAAGACAAGAGTTAATTCAGACCGGACGGCAGAGATGATAGATCAAGATAGCTGACCAAGATTCATCAAAATTTTGGACTCTTCTTCAACCAAGAACAAGTAGTTTGAAGAGCGACTTAGAACCAGACCACAGAAATAAGCTTTTAGACTTTCATCCAAAATGACACACCGAAACACAAATTTCTTAGAGAGCAGACAACTTGAAAAGTTAAAATTTGTCTAGCGAAAGTGTCATGCCACAATCCACAGAACGGGTCGGGAGGTAGACACAGTCCTATGAACTTTCAACTAGACATAAAAAGTTTGTTACCTTTTTTTCTTTGATACTTTGAACTTTGTGAGTTTTTTTATTTTCTTTATTATTTTGTGTTATCACCCCGTTGAACTCAGCTTGGTACGGCCCCAACCCCTGTTTGATCTCGTCTGTCTAAGATCAATTCACAACGTGGGTAGGGCAGACTGGAGATCAGTGCAGTTACCCTGGTAACCAGGCGTTGGAAGCAGGTTGGGAACGGCGAGGCTGGTATCAATCAACCAGATTCCTACCGAATCACCAAAGGTTTAGAACGTCACATTTGGAGCAGCGACACCCGGACGGAGCGAAGAGGAGCTTAACAACTGACGCCATCTGGCGAAGATGTCTGGTTGGTGCTGTTTAGGACGTCACAACTGGCAGCCGTGGTGGATCAGAATAGAACATCACAGTTAAGCGCTGCAACCGAGGGGGAAGTACAATATATATATATATATATATATATATATATATATATATATAGATCAACATGTTTTATATGCATCAACAATATATATATATATATATATATATATATATATATATATATCAACATGTTTTATATGCATCAACATTATATATATATATATATAGATATATATTATATATATCAACATTATATATATATATATATTATATATATATATCTCGATCAACATATTTTATATGCATCAACATTATATATATATATATATATATATATATATATTTATCTCGAT